AATAGTTATCATTTATAGAATATAAATTATTCTGGCAAATTGCTGCAACATTGCAATATTACAGTAGCATTGGAAATGTTGCAATAATGTTGTTGTCACCGGTATAAAATTCATTGTGTTCCACTTTTAGATAAACTGATAATTTAAATAATAGATAAATAAAAAAGTAAAAAGATAAGAAAGTTGAGATTTATCGAACGAGAGAACAATCCAGCCTTACTCCGTTCGCCGGTTTCTTGATTACACGGTTTAACGATACAGCTAAAAAAGTCATCGCCAGCGTCGTTACAGCCGCATGCGAAACACATATTGAAAGATCCCTTGGATGCTGCTCCTCTTGTTTCATTCCATTTATACACTAATTTTGGTATGCATGAACTTCCTTGCGCTATATAAGTGACAAAAACAAAAATATTAATTCTCAAATAACTATACATCTCACTTGAGCACAATTTAAATTGAAGAATAAATTTATATAAGCACAAGAGAGAGAGAGAGAGAGAGAGAGGGAGAGAGAGAAAGAGAGAGAGAGAGGGAGAGAGAATCTTTAGTTACTCACGTAGGTACAAATGTTTAGCTGAAATTTCAGATATGATCAAACCGATGATGCTAACCATTACAAGAACTGCAAATAATTTAAACGCCATGGTTTCGACACTTTATATAAATGCTCGAACAGTATGCTGTTTTTACTTTGAGCGTCTTTTTGACAGAACTACGCATTCATGACTAGGCCATCATGTAGGTTCTCACGTATTTATATATATATATATATATATAAATGAACATATAAAGCTCTTTAAACGGTTAACGCACGTTTAAACGGTTTAAAAAATAATTACATATATATGTTTTTACTTTGAAATCTCATAAATCGTATAACCATATAATAATATTTGACATTTTGAAACAAACATGTTTTCTTTTTATATTTTTCATTTTGAAAATAAATAAATAAAATGAAGTAAGTTTAAATTGAATTAAAGACTCTTTAAAGTTTGAAAAAAACATCAAAATTAAACGAGTATAAATGGCTATACAGAGTCATACGCTGTTAACGAGAAGCGTGGAAAATACAAAAATCTTACATTTAGATTCATAAAATTCGGAGTCGAATTTTTCGAACGTTTCGGTCCTTTACTCTGGACCATCATCAGCGACAAAATAAAATAATCTTAGAGTTGTCGATGTTGTTGACACGTAGTAACATTCTTCACCAACAGAGGTAAAGCCAACACTTGGTGGAGTAAAGATGTTAACCAAATTTTGAAATTTGAAAAAATGTCTCTGTTAGTAGACAAAAACACAATTCCATCATTCAATAAAAGTCATAGAAATTATCTGACAATTTCGTTTTAAAAGTGTCAGTATCTAACGACACGTAACAATGTAATGAAGACAGTTAAAATAAATAATATTTTATGAATCTAAATGTAAGATTTTTGTATTTTCCACGCTTCGTTAATAGCGTATGACTCTGTATAGCCATTTGTACTCGTTTAATTTTGATGTTTTTTTCATTTTGAAATAAACAATTTTTCCTTTAATGCTCTTTTGAGTCATTAAAAACAATAGAGATATTCTAAGTGCTCAAGTTAAAGAAAATACCTTGTATAGCCCAAACTGATAAAAAAGCTAGTATTATAAAAAGCTGGTAAAATAAAAAAAATGTGCCTTATGACTTCGAGAAAACACATCACCGTGTATTTAACACTGCCTTCGAAAAACATCGCGTGCACACATCTGAGAATAGTAAAAGTTACTACAAATAGATAATGCATTGCTTAATAATGCATTGTATATTATAGTCACAGTTCACGTATGAATACGTAAAATGCGACTTTGACGTTGGAGTTGTTTATTATCCCGATAGAATGATTTTGCAAAGCGATTAAAATGTATGTATGGGAATGAATTGAAACTCTAAATAGTTATTTCTTCGTAACAAGTAGGCCGAAAATAATTAATCAAATGCCATTTTGCAAAAAAAACTTGTTAATTGTATTACCATATACGAAAAAAATATGTAATTGAAACATTACAAAAACAGAAGCAAAAAATATGCTTATGATTATGAATTGGTTTTCAAAGTGTTGTCTATCGGAATCAACGCAAAACTAAATGAGAAGAATTACTTCATAAAGATTCACTAAATTTTTTCCTAATACAAAGAAACGAGGATTAGCTCTATCAAGGATTCGCATTTTATGCAAAATAGCGTGACCCTCGTACATAAACATATCATTGTTTCCTTATTTGTAATGTTTAAATTATTAAATAATTATATGTATTTTTTCATATATATGGTAATAAAAAAATTTACAAATTTTTTCTACAAAATGGCGTTAAATTAATTTTGTTTGATCATACATGTCGCAAAATATAATAATAACCATTTAGTTTCAACTCATTTGATCCCTTTGGTCATTCTGTATTATCTCGACGTGCATAATTACCGCATTTACGTCTATAAAAATCTCACATACAGATATTGATCGACCTAATAATTTGCAAAACAATGTCAACAAAAATTAAGGTATTTCTAATTTCTCATTAAAATAACGCTTCATCTATGGAAATTACGTAAATTTATTGATAAACCAACGTTTTTTTAGAAATTAACAATTTGCTGTTACGTAGAGCTACTAATAAATTCGAAGATATTGTATTTGACGTAACACAGATTTCACTAACAGCGAATAAAAAAATAAGAATTAAAATAATTTTTTAAAATTTAAAGGTTGATTGGAAAAAATATGCGTAATTGTTTATTGAAACTTTTCAAAAGACGGTCAATATTAGTCTTCGTCATTTAAGGTAGGATAAAACGTTTAAATCTGAGGATTAAATGAGGTTTTAAGTTTCAATGTAGAACGAAGTTGTAACTAAATAAGACGTGTAATCTGAATAACACGACACTTGGTTCATGCGTAAAACAACAACGTTAAAGTAAAATATAAGAATCTTTTTTAAATATACTTGTATTTTGAAGCATAGTTAATTCTGCATGTCGCCAAAGATTTAACTAATTATATTTGTTCTAAAACACAAAGTAAAGACTATTTTGTGAATTCAGTGTGCTGTCTCGGAAAGCTTTTGAATTTATGTTTCTCAACATGTATAACAGGTAAGATAGATCCATCTTCATCTTTTTTAGACTTACTTTTGAACAAACTCGAGAAGAAACTCATCTTATCTTTATCGTCATCATCGGTCTTGGCAGCATCTGCTTTTTTGTCTTCCTTCTCCACTGATTTAACAAGATACATGCATACCTTCGTAAGATACATGCATACCTGCAGCGATTCGTCGAGAATCTTCCAAAAATTCTACAGTAGCTGCTCTCACATCGGGTGCAGTTGTAATTTCTGGTAATCTGCTATCGAACTGCGAATTCGTTACTTCGCTAGAGAGAAATTCTGGTTGTTGTTCTGAAACTTTCGTTACGACTATCTTCGATTCCTCGTCACCACTATCAAAGGACGTGTCCTTAAAATCTTTCTTGCCTCTCCTCAATTTGGAGCCTTTAAAATTTCCCAAAAATATTCCGCCGCTCTTATCCTTTGTTTTCTTCTCTTCGTCTGATTTATCTCCCATGTTGTCTGTCGAATGTGGCACATATTGTAAACATCTTCGTAAGCCGATGTTTTCACAATTTTTGTTACAGTAGGTATCTTTATCCTTCTTTTCCTTATCTTTATCTTTATCCCTATCTGCTGGAGTTTTTATTTCTGATTTCTTTTGATCAGTTTGAACTATTGTGCCAGCCTTTAAGTACCGTTTTTCGAGTAACAGTCGCATCCGTAGGAGCTGCGCCTAACTTTTCGTCGACTTCTTTAGACAGTTTCTCTTTCTCGCTAACAACGTCTTTTTTATCGGGGAAAACAATTACCGTTTCTTTCGCTTAAATTTGTTCAAACTGTGTTAATTTAAACAAACTGTGAAATCGTTTATTATCATCGAAGTTAGTCTAAATGTAAGAGAGATAGAAAATCATTTAATGCGTTTATATGATTCGATTTACATACGTCGAAGTTACAACATCAATGTTATGAAATTGGTCAGCTATTTCTTTGAAGAATGGAATAGCTATTGCCTATTTTTCGATCTATTTGCTTATAAATGATTATTGTCGAGGATTTTATTAGTTAAATAAGTTTAAAAAATATATTTTAAATAAGCATGCTATTGATACGAATATTATCGCATCTCTTCTATAATTATCTTTGAAGATGTATGCGAATATAATTTATCATTATAATAATATATATATATTATTATAATGATATTATAATATAAATTATATTATAATATAAAAATATTTACACTGCATTCTTGTCATAAATTCAAGAATGCAATTTCTCATCTCGCAAAAAGATAAAAGAAGTTAAGAAAAAATTATTAAAAAATTTATGCAAATCGAGAAAAAATCAAAAACGACCAATTGTAACATTTTTCTTAAAAAATATTTCGTAATAATGAGTTTTTAAATGAGAAAGTAGATATCATTCTAATATTATTACACCATTTTTATTAAATTTTGATTTTTCATCAATCTACTTTGAAAATTTCTTTTTTATTTATTTTCATCGAAATACTTTATTTTTTACATAAAATGCGAAATAATGTTTGTACATATATTTATAATAAATATAAAATTATGTATATCTTTATAAATATATTTTACGTTGTTTTACAAACAGTAGTGTTTTTACAAAGAATATGTATAATGCGTTTTTAAATGTATATTTAAATATCAATTTTTGAAATAATAATGCATTTCAATTATCAAGCGCACATAATAATAAAATTCTGTATTAAACTTCATCTCACTTCACATATATAAAATATACTTTTTAATACCAATCCATATATTCATAAGTTCCTCAATTTGATTATGACATTTTTGATTAAATGTTATGTGTTTTTACGGACATTTTGTATAATACATTAACTTTTTTAATGTTATCTGTATTTAAATATATTAACATTTGAAAAAATCATTGGGTATATTCTACTATATCATACGTGTTCATCATAGTTTGATGAATCCAATTTACGTATGATGAAACCCTAGTAAAAACGCCCGGTTTATCGCTAGGGCAATATGCGTCTCCGTAACTCACAATACCGACTTGAATGTCCATGCCATTTTCCACTACAACGAGTGGTCCACCGCTATCGCCCTAAAAGTAACAAAATCACTATAGTAGCCTCTATATTGCCTATTACAGTATTCCACTTACACTTGTAATAATTTATTTTATAGAGCATTATTTTATTTTTTACCTGACAAGCATCTCGTCCTAATCCTGGTGCCGTGCAAATCTGATCATCAGTGATTCCGTGCCAGTATCGCTCGCATACACTATTTGTTGTAATCGGCAATTTGGCGTACTTAAGTCTTGTCGAAGCTAATCTATTATTTGTATGTTCTTTCCCCCAACCGATCACAAAAGCAGATTTATCCTCAAAATTTTCTTGATAAGGAAGGCTTATCGGTTTAATAGTATCTAAAATAAAGAAATGTATATTTAATTGTTTCTTAATATCTCAATGTTGCGACATTACATTTACGTTCATAATATTTTTTAAGTCGTTTAATGGTTTGTGGTATTTTTCAGCATTTATTAAAGATTATAAAAAAATAATAAAAAATATAAAGTATACATAAATGTACAATATGATTTTTGTGATATTATCAAGTTCCCGCGTTTATAAGGCTACTTGTTAAGTTGTTACAAATAAATTTTTTACTTTTCGCGTTTCTTCCGTATAAAATAATTAAATAACATGGACGTGTATAAATAATTACGAAAGAAGAAAGGAAGCGAAATATTAATTTATAAATATACGTACTGGAGAAAGGAATATTTTGCGGAGTATAAAGTAGAGCAATATCGTTCAGGCCCATTTTATAATATGGATGTACAAATGCTTGAGTCACCATCATGGACACACCGGGACCTCGGTAAGACTCGAATACCCCAGACTTGTTAATGATACCAAAAACTACCAAAAATCTTTTTGGATATTTTATCGCACAATGAGCGGCTGTGAGGACCCATCTGTTTGATAAGATTGTGCCTCCGCATTGTCCGATCAATCCGTTACCCAGGAGTTGATGCACGACTGCCATGTACGGAAAGTCTCCGAGTCTTGCATACGTTCCGCCCGCTATTCTACCTGGATCTCTATAATCTGTTGTTTAGGAAAAATTATTGAAATATTGTATTATCTCAGAATACGTATATGTATTACTATATAAATACTTACCATAATAACCACGTAGCCTTTTTATATAAATATCGTCAGATTTGTGGGTGTCTGCATGAAGCTGACTTTGAATAAATTGACATGTTGTTAATAAAATTAGAAAATGCAAAAATATTTTTACCCTTTTCAGACTCATGATAGATTATTTCGTAATTTTGAAAACGTTATTCCGACAAAAGTTTAAAATGTAAAATTCGCAAGAGATATTTGTAATTTGAAAAAATAACTTGTATAAGATATTAAAGGTAACTACAAACTTATATTAATTTCGGACTTATAATTATACTAGGATTTTGTGTGACTACTTGTAACGAATACGAGGAACTGTTGTTGTAGTTAGAAAATTTCCCTTTTATAATACACGATAAGATGTGTTCTGCTTTGCTGGAAAGAGTGGAAAATTTGAATACTCGTAACATGCTCTGAGAAATCTGTAGAGCATACTTACGCATTTAAATTTTTCGTTTTTACTGTTTGTCTAAAAATGATAAACCGAGGTAAGTGTGTGTTTTAATGTATAACCTGTCAGAGAGTATCTTAAATTCGTTCAAAGTAAATTCTAAGGCGCGTTATCGAACAGGAATTCTTTGGATTTGCCGAAATACCTAAGTCATGAATATTCCAAAGTGTCCTAACTACACGGTACCCAAAATACATCTTTCTCGAAACCGTTCTGCTTTTATCTAAAAATTTTTTTTGTATCATCAGTCATTTCGGAGAAAATTTTATATATATATATATGTTATGTATATAATAAATATATAACCGTTTTAGAATTCCATTTCAGAAATTGTCTAAAGAGATTTGATTATGCATTGAGCAAGGTTACTCACAAAATTAAATCTATTCCACGTTTGCTTTTGATTGCATGATATTTGAAACTGCATGTTATATTGAAAATCATATCTATTGAAGATCATACTAGAGATTTCTTTAAACTTGAGACAATGTCGTAAATTGTAAAGTGTTTACATTTTGCTTATGGCGTTAAGTTTAAATGTACTTTTACTCCACTTTTTCAAGCCTCTGGCTGGCTCAATATATGTCATTAGATTTGTTCTGCGTCTATGTTTTGCATTCCAATACTCCATCTTATCTTCGTGATTGTCTTCATTTCATTCATGAGTTTCACTCCAGCTTTTTCTCTGATACACGCGCTTCCAATTTCTTCTTCCCTATTCTCTATAATTCTACACATCATTCAATTAAATTTCAGACTGCGTTTTCCTATACGTAGTTTTACCCACAAGTAACATTCGCTCCTCTTTCTTCCTTACCACTTTTAAGTCTGCTATCTCTGGATATCTAATGTTGATATTAACTATGCGTATACACTAGTTCTGTTTTTTCTTTCATTATTCTCATCTATATGTGCCATACATACATACATATATATGTATATATATATATATATCTAGAAAACTGATGATTTATGAAATGGATTTTTATCTATATTTTCAGTGATTTTCTCTTATTCTTCGTGAACAAGAAATTTACTTCCCAGGTAGCAAACACATGTCATTTAACGTCAAATTCTGGTCATGTCGATACGAATGACGTCAAGTGATCAAAAATTGACCAACCGATGTTATGACGTCCATTGTGCAATCGAATCGGCGATCATTATTCGCGTCCAATTGGATCAGAGTAAAAGCCATCAGAGGAGACAGTGACCTGTGTATGAATCATGAGCGTGTCATAATTTATTTTCAAAGTGATCACAGAAGTGAGTGCGTCATACGACGTCATTAGAATTCGATTGACGAGGATTTCCTGACGAAAGTATGCACGTGTTATTTGCATTATATGATGCAATGTTACTATATATATGTATATGTATGTACGTATATTATATAATGTATACAATAGAAATTTATGATGGTACATTATCTGCCAGATTTGAATTTTTAAATAATCCAAAAAGTTCATCATACGTGTTATATACCCGTTAAAAAAATAAATACAGAATGATTGAAAACGATAGAATTTTTATCAATTTGTATTGTTTTCTATAATATTTATGTAATTTCCTATCGTTGACCTCGCGAGCATTACGATTGATTGGTTATGAAAAAACTAGTTTCCTATAAGATTTGATTCAAATTAGTAAATTCACGAATCGGACTTCAAAACAATAAGATTTTTTCTGTTGTCCTCTATCCATTTTTTTACTAGAGTTAGTTACTATAATTATATACTATGGCTGATTATCAACCTAATAAATATGCGATATTATCAAAAAATTATTTTAAAGATTTCCTATGCCTTATTTTTTTCCCATAAATCTTACAAAATGCACTCACTTCATCGTTTTATCAATTGTTATCAACCACATTACGTAAATTTCTTATAACACTTAAGGTATGCGCATTAATTATTCGATATTACGTACATCTGGTTAATTCCAACAATAACATTTTGAAGTATATTATAAGTCTTTGATATATATACAGAGATACCAAAATATACATTATAAATGTATAAGTATACACTTCTATATCAAACAGGAAAAATTTTAAAGAGTTTTAAAAAATTAGCAAAATTCTATTTTTGAGTTTTTATTAGAAATTAGATCGTTCTATACATTGGTATTATAGTTACGTACTCTGTATGTGTGCATGTAGTGTATATAAACACTCGCGTGTTCGCTAATATTTTTCTAGTCGTTATTTTTAACATAATTGCTAGTGTGTTGAAATCATTATATGTAGGTATGTGTCGGTTACATATGTCGACAGCATGACATGCAGATACATTAAACTAAGATATGGAACTGTTTCTAAACGAAACATTTGATATATATATTGAAAGATTAAGAGATAGTTTTTCGATAACACAATTAATATAATATCAAGATTGTTTAGAAACAATTAACTATTTATATGCATTATTTTTTCACTTCTTTTTACACTGTTTATTGTTTGCGTGAAAATAGAAATATCTATTATTATATATAAGATCGACAAAGCTTGTCTAAAAAAAAGATTCAGGATCACCTTTGTACGCATCTTTATACGTTATGATACTCCATCATCGCACGATAATAAATCGAATATTGTTTAATGCGTAATTAAAACATATAATGTCCAAAATTAATAGCTATATTTTCAAATTTTTTGATTATAATACTTGAGACATAAGTATTACACCTAATTACAATAAATGAAAATCATAATTATACATGCTTATGACCTGTAATATATCTATTATATGATCATCGATAATACTTATATCTCTCTATATTGTTTTCGATAAATTTTGTAAACGAGAATAATTAATTAAAATACAATTTATTCCTTTAATTAATAATACCATCAATTTCCTTTCATTATCGATATCTTCCATTATGATTTGTTAATTTTAATGACAATTAATTATATTATATTTTCATTCGCATCAGAAATCATAAATTATAATAAAATAAATTATCATAATAATATATGGTATGTATATACATAGCGAATAAATTCACAGATCTGCTATAAATTGAACTGTATAATTACATGTCCATAAAACCAAGAATATAATAAATAAAAGATAAAAATAAATTATTTAACTATACATATATTTTAGAGTTAATAAAAATTTGTTCTAAGAAGGAAAATCATTTATCAATTTTCCTTTCACATTCGACTTATCGCATTATAATGCGGCACTCGGTTGCACTCGGTCACGCACGTTCAGCATTGCGGTGTGCCATTGTTTTCCTGGAATTCTTGTTGACGTCGTAAATTGCAAACCAGAGGAGACCTTCCCAGTCTTCCCACTACCTGATTCCGTCCTTGCCAGCAGCCAGCAGCAGCCGCAGTTTCCATTTCCACTAGCAGTCTGTCCTCGCTACGCGTCGGCGTACGTCGGTTGCTGCACTCTTTTGTCTGACTCATTTTTCCTTCCGCCGAAGGCAGGGAATTAAACGGTGTTTTTCGTCGTTGTCATACACGTCACGACGCGGCCGCGACGTAGGAGCTCGTGATCTCATAATTCAGCGAACCACTTCAAGTGAGTACCGAGAGCCGATGGCATTAAATTCGACAAAACTGTTAGCATAACATATCGTTTATATACAGTTCGTCAGTGTTTCGTAACGAGAACATCGTTATATTTCGTTAGGTGACACCAATCTGTTTAATTGTTTTCTCTTCAAGGTGGAATATCCTTCTCAGTTTCTCTGACATATGTATATGCGTGACGTGTCAGCTTACGATTAAATTTTAATTACGACATATAACTTAATTAGTATATATTATTGTGATCGTTTCGCGGTCTTATTCTAGCTCTATAAATTCCTACAACATATTGGAATTGTTATCAAATTATGTACCCCGATAACTAAACTGAAACGTGTCGACACGTTTAGTGCTGAGCTCAGTGTACCATATAAACACTAAAATCTGATATTGTACTATTTTCTACCGATAAAACCTTATCTACAATTACATGAACATAATTATAAGTGATCGTAGTGTAAGAATTTTTCAATCACAGTTGGATATTCTCATCGTATTTAACTGTAATTGGCTAATTCTTTCAACTACAACTACGTGTATAAGCAAATGATGTTTGCATGGTACTGTCACGACTAGTCAGAGCATGTAGTCGAAATTTTAGATTTGATTACTTTACTGGCGTTTTTTTTACGAACATAAGTTCACACAGCGTGTAGGTGTGGCGCAGATCACGAATATCACGATGCATGTGTAATGCCTATTCTACAGTAGTTGTAAGTGTAGGTAGTAAGTGGTTGTGAGAATTGACCAATCAAGTCGAATGTGAAGAGAATATTTGACTGTGATTGCCAATTCTAACAACGCTTTTATGACTATTAGAATAGGATTAAGGGTATATCCACACAAATTTGCATAGCCACATAAACGTATGCATAAAGAAAAAATTATCAAATCACATTTTTTTTTTTATATAAAAATGCACATAAAATGTAATTGAATAATTTTCTTTATGCGTACGTTTATGCGGCTCTGAAAGTTATTACTTTCGCCAATTGCTTTCTTTTCCTTTTTGTCCTTTTATTTTCCTTTCAATTTGACCCTTTTGAATATTTCCCTTTTGAAAACTTCTTTTAAATATTCAGTTTTACGATGTTTTTGGAATTATAGGCAAAAAAAGGGGTATATGTCTAACGGACTCTTCAATCATCGTCACTTTCTCCAGTTTTTCCTTATCCCTTTTACGTGCATTTTTGGTACCTTAAAATCTCACGTTATTGGTTGGAGCTGATAGAAGACTCCACCTCTTTTGCCAATAAAAAGATCCTTCTAGCTCAGCTCGAGTTAGTCTAATTCCGTAAGCCATACTATTGTCATCAACCTTAACTCGCTAGTCTGTAAGTTTGCCTGTAACGTTGAATAAAGCTTGGTCAAAAGACAGTCGTCGAACCATTTCTCATATTGTTACAAGTTGCGGCGTTCTGCGCTCGTAACAACACGTGCATGCATTAGCCTGAATCCTCATACAAACACCGAGCGCTGATTGGTGAAAAACGGATTATGAGAGTAACCCCATTGCTCATTTTTCACCAATCACACTCATTGTCAAAGTGCCAAAGTTGCATGAGGATCCAGAGCAAGTATTTTATCATCTGTAGGATATATATCATGCTATTACTAGCTGAATCGCTGTTTAACGAGTTTCGTGGTGCAATGTATAAGTAGAGGAAGTTTGTAATTTAGCGTTCTTCTCTGTGTGCAGGTTCTTCCGTTGCAACAGTTGATTCTTGAATAGAAAAAATGAGTCACGGATCCTACGGTTACCAAGTAAGTATAAATTTGGTTTATTGTTAAATAACTGAAGAGCATATTTTTAAACTGTGTGTTAATTCCATACTTTTAGCAAACAAATTGATGTATACAGCACAGAATTTCTAAAATTGTACGTAAATGTTCGTAGAATGTTCTAAAAATGTATAAATATTCTTAAAATGTTCATAGATAGACAAATGTTGGCATATTGTCTGAATAATAACAAAATTTGAAATTGAAAATGATTGTATAATTATTCAAAGACGCACCCTTTTATAAGATAAATGTTTCTAACATATAGAAAAAGAATTCTGATACTGTAAATATGGTGCCAATATGCTGTTTATGATTACTATATTGTAAAATTCATAAAATGCACAACACAACATGATATCATAATAGATAAACAAATGTATTATAATTTTGTGCTCTATCATGATAGCATCACGAAGTATACATAAAATGTTTGCATGCTTAGCATGTTTGTTTATCTGGGCTATAAAGCTTTGACAAATTTTCTATTTTCTATTGCTTGAAAATATGAATCTATGCAATCTATTAACATAATCTATTAATGTACAATAGTCTATTAACATAGCTTAAAAATAAGCTCGTCATTTGAAGAAAGTAATTAGCCGAAGCTTCTACATGGGATTGGTATATTATTTGTTTCTGTATCTATACCTTAATATCCAAGGGACCACCTGTTCAGTTTCCGGGACGAGCACGACCACCAACGTCATTTGGGGCTCTACATGGTGCACCCTCTGCCCCTGGTGTTCCTTCTTATTCTCCAGTGGGCTTCTCAAATGCTCCACCGACATCTTTTGGCATGCCTCAACCATACTCTCAGGCTCCTTATCCAACACAGCCTTTGCATCCATTCCCTGGCAATGTACCTGCTCAAACTGATACTTATCCTCCACAACAAATGCCGTATCCCCAATCTATGCCCACATGTTATCCCTCTAATACATACTCTAATCAATCCGGTCCGTCTCCTTATCTCCAACAACAAAGTAATAATCCATATCCTAATCTTCAAACAGCACCAGATGCTAAAGAATATTTTAGCGATATGACTCCTTCCCCTTATCCTTCTGGACCAAATACATACACAGCTAGTTCACTTCAAAGCGGTAGCTACCCCGGGGGGCAGGGGGTAAGCTCACAATATCCTCATGCTGCTACTCATGGTACTACCCCAGCCCCCCGTAGAGATCGGTTTACGCCTAAGGTGAGATTAAGAATAATTCTTTCAAAACTTTTCAGAAAGTTAAAACATTATTTTGTACAGGTATTAAGGCAGCAGTTATTGTAATCTTGCAGAAAAGCAAGATCTTCTATTATGCTTTGCGTAAATTTTTTAAAATTTTACGAATTTTGTTATAGACTTCTCCCACGGTAGTACCTTACGATGGCTTTGATGCCAGAGCGGATGCTGAAACTTTAAGAAAAGCTATGAAAGGATTTGGCACCGATGAAAAAGCTATTATTCATGTTCTTGCAAATCGTAATAATCTACAGCGCCAAGAGATTGCATCTCAATTTAAGACCCTTTATGGAAAGGTACAGTATATGAGAATTTAAAAACTTCATTTTGCCAAATTAGAGCTTAATACTATAATATGTTGCATTTCTGTTAACAGGATCTGATAAAGGATTTAAAATCTGAGCTGTCAGGAAACATGGAGAAACTTGTTCTTGCCTTGATGATGCCCTTACCTCAATTTTATGCTAAAGAACTCCATGACGCTCTGTCTGGTCTTGGTACTGATGAGACAGTACTCATCGAAGTATTATGTACAATGTCCAATCATGAAATTTCGATTATTAAACAAGCATATGAAGCAAGTAAGTAAGCTGATATAATATATTAAGATTACAATATTATTACACAATATATTACAATATACATTAATACAATAAAAATAAATTATATTATTTAAAATAACAAAATGACATTTACTTGTCCGCTTATCATAGTATTTAATAATTACAGTGTTCAGAAAAACATTGGAAGATGATTTAATGTCTGATACATCTGGCAATTTCAAACGCTTGATGGTATCATTATGTTGTGCCAATAGAGATGAATCATTTAATGTGGATCAATCTGCTGCAATGGAAGATGCCAGACAACTTTTGCAAGCTGGTAATTAGTAAATAAAATATTTAAATAACTACATTTTGTAATATATGTATGTGTGTAACATATGTTATATTATAACATAATATTATATATAAAAATATATAGAATATATATACAATGTATTCTTTAATATTTTTTATATGTTGATATTATACAGGGGAGCTTCGATTTGGTACGGATGAGTCTACTTTTAACGCGATTCTCGTCCAAAGAAACATGGCACAGCTACAACAAATATTCAAAGAGTATCATAATATAACAGGCCACGATATTGATGAAGCGATTGAAAATGAATTTTCGGGCGATATTAAGAAGGGTCTTCTTGCAATTGGTAAGAATAAGCTGTAAATATATAAAAGAAAACTACTAGACACTACTACTAACATTACTGCTTATTAAAATAAATATTTCTAAAATAGTGAAGTGTGTCAAGAACAGACCCGGTTTCTTTGCCGAACAATTGTATAAAAGCATGAAAGGTCTTGGTACAGATGACAACCGTCTCATTCGTTTGGTTGTGACACGTTGTGAAGTGGATATGGGTGAAATAAAGAATGCATTTGTCCAATGTTATAAAGAGTCATTGGAAGATTTTATATCTGTAAGTTACCAAATATATAAAAATATCAAAATATAAAAATATCACATCACATACTAATTCTCTTTTTCCTTCTTTTATTTCTTCAGGGTGACTGCTCAGGACATTACAAAAAATGCTTATTGGCATTAATACAGTCCTAAAATACAATATTTTCGACCAAATATATGGGGCTTACGTTGCATTTATCGTTCATCTTTTTACAAATATCTTTGTACAATGTATGTATGTATAAATGTTCGGCTTCTCCTCTTAATTTCCAACAATTATGCCAGTGATAATAACACCGATTCGTGCTTTGAAATATGCATAAATGAATTTATTTTTATATGGAAAGTTATATGAAGATATTTTGAGATATATATATACAAGTACTTAATTCAGTGATAGTAATATAAAATTACTGACAATTATGGACAGAATCACTGGTCATGTTGATAAATACCAAGAATTTCAACAGATCGTACAATCACTTATGATTTGATACAGGTAAATATGGAATAAATGAATACATTAATTACCTTGATTTTTAAAAAATTGTATTTAATTTTGGTTTTCATTTGTGTCAACATATATATATAAATAGTAATTGTATGGAATTAATCAGTGATTTTGTGAAACAAACTTTTATTGTACATGTATATTTATACTAACTGAGTACAACTTACAAATATTGTGATTAAATGTTCCTATATATAAATACATAAATGCTTCTAGAATGACAATGATAGTAAAAAAAAGTTTTTAATGGAATTGTGCCAATAATGTATGGTGCTTCTGACATTTTATATATAAATGATATTATGTGTACATTTTTTCTCGCATGAAATAATATATTTACATGAAAAGTTCTGAGATAGTTTCATATATGTTCTATATTTTTTATATAACATTGTATATTCAAGTTATTACACACACACACACACACAAATATATATATATATATATATATATTTTATTTCGATATTGTATTTCCTGTATCTATATAAATAAAAATTTTAAAGGTTATAAGCAAAATAAGATCTCAAAGCATTATTAAAATATTAAAAATCTAGCCCTAATAAGTTTCTATCTATATATATACATATATCGCTGCGTTGATAGAAAAGTGGTTCGAAATTAACAACTTTTCTGTAATCCATTTTTAAATTGAATCAACGTTTTGATTAGAGAAATATTTTAAAAGTACATTCCGTTTTGATGCATATAGTGTTACAAGCATCATGTGTCCTTATTTCATATTTGATAGACAATTTGGGCAAAATGATGTTTATAGCATGTAAATGTAAATATCGAACGCACCCTAAGTAGTCAATATGCGTTTTTATGAAATAACTTCACTTTTTTTCCAGATACTTTCAATTATGTACAATTATATATTCTTTAACTTTGAGTAGTCCCCTGAGTTTTTTTTATGTAAATCAAAAATGATTATACCCTTGACATTTTGATATTAGAATTTTGTTATCTTAATTTAAGAGTTTATGTATTTTACAATTCATACGCAACATTTTACTTTCAGACTTTGAATTTCGCGGTTTCGAATCTATCGAGAAACAACGCGATTCTCGAAGTCGAAATTCGAAATAGTTGAAAGAACGAATGAATGCACAGTAAAGCTATATTCACACAAACTTGCGTAACCGCATAAACGTATGCATAAAGAAAATTATCCAATCACATTTTACATGCATCTCTATAAGGGAAATGCGATTGGATAATTTTCTTTATGCATGCGTTTATGCAGCTATGCAAGTTTGTGTGGATATATAGCTTAACCGGATCTACTCGTTCCACGTTCTACATTATAGATGTGCACCATAGCGAATATCTGATTGCACGGTGCAATATTTTTCTTCCCCCGACTATTTTCTCGACATTTATCATTTTGACAGATATATATATATATGATACATATTCCAGCACAAATCATAAAATATGGCACAGGAGATAAATCGTTGGACATCATTTGATGTGCATCCCACAATAACGATATTTATAGATTTACAAATTTACTGGCATGCTATAAATATTTTGAGCGAGCTAGTTGCTCTTTCTAGCAATTATATCGTGAACGTTATGTCAGAGAGGGTTTCTCTCTGGCGAGCTCTCTGGTTGTGTAAATAACTCAATGTGATTCACGTTATCACTAACTGCGAATTTAAGGTGGTGCTAGTCACGTGATATAACGTTCCAAGAAATCAATAATAAACACCTTATAAATAAAGCGTCTTTAAGTTAACCAGAGTATCATCGAGAGATTCAAATATATTACATTTATACATAATGGATGCCAATGCTAAATGCACAATCCTCGTGACTGGCTTTGGTCCATTTCTTACGCATACAGTGAACGCTAGCTGGGAGGCGGTAAAAGAATTGCAGCAACTGTGGAAGAATTCCGTGGAATTTTCCGATGTTAAACTGGTTGTAGAAGAAATTCCAGTTTCATACGATTACGTATCTGATTATATCCCTCAACTCTGGGAGAAACACAGGCCTTCAGTAAGAAATGTTACATATATATATACAATATATAGATATGCAATTTCTCAATAAATATTTATTATTTCAATAAAAAAGAGAAAATCAACGATCCAACGAGTAAAGATTGATTATTATAAAATAAAATATTAGTAGAATTTATTTATTAATATAAATATTATAAAAATGTTTCGACTTTAAAGTTTTCATTAGTTTTCCCCTTTTAACATAGCATATAACATTATAATGTTTTTTGTTTGTTTTGTACGAAAAATACTGTCTCAATTTATATCACATTGTCCTGTTTTACTGAATAAGTTTGTTAATTAATCTGTTTAAATTGGATGGAAAAACTATTGAAGATTTAGTAGAGTCAAAACTTTAATAAAATTTATTTATTTATATTATTTATATGCGTGTGCGCATAGCAAACAAAAGTAATGTTCTATGTCCTTGTCACACAAATGTTGGACACAGTTTCAGCTATAGGAGATATAGGCTATTCCTGTTCCATGTATTATATACAAGTTCTATTTTATATAATCAATTTTTGTTCATTATTCGCCATTAATCTTATCTTTCTTTTTAATCGTATTGCAAATTTCACGAGCATTGTATTTTAATTGATATTTATTATTTCTATTATTTTAGATTGTCCTACATGTGGGTGTATCGCAGGAAGCTAAATCTCTAACAATAGAGCAGCATGCTTGCAGCAACGGCTACGAAAGAGTCGACATATGTAATAAATGCCCCGATGAAACAGATGTCGAGTATAAAATTCTGGAAACTGAGATAGATGTCAAAGAACTTTGTAATAATGTGAATGAAAACTTCGAAAGAAGCGGACGCAAAGCTTGCCTCTCGGTTAATGCCGGCAGATATTTGTGTGAATATATATTTTATCAATCACTCTGTATTGAGCCAGCAAAGACTTTGTTTGTGCACATTCCAGATTTTGACAAATATTCTAGTGAACAAACTGCGAATGGTTTATATGACATTTTATGTTACTTAATAAGAAATTTGGAATTGAGCTAACAATTTTTATGTATTAAGTTACTAAATACTTGATAATAAAGAACAATAGTGTATGTGTTTAAGGTCTATATACACTTTCTTATATACATATATCTAGAAAAAAATAAAAATGGTTAAGGATATACAAGTACAAGTAATGTAATGTGATATTAATATAAGTCACAGATTATAACAAATACAAGTTTTATTTTTGATGTATGAATGTCCAGCTTTGATAAATATAATAACATTCCAATAACTATGCATTGAAATTTATGATCCAGGTTGAAATTTCGTTCGGGCGGGTGGAATATTGTATCTAAGTTCGTGAAATTCTGGCTTTCTGATCATCGATGCAACGTGCCCCATTTGAATCGTGCAGTCAGGATTTAGATTCGGTGGTAGCAATGTACATTCTCGCTCTAAAATGCACGCTAATCCTTCTAACAATTCGATGAATCCTATAGACGCTGCTGCACGTCGTAATCTATTTACCTCCTAAAAAAAAAGAGAGAGATGCAAAACATAATCATTTCATAACAATTTTATCAGTTAAATCATATACAATTGCATTATTTTTTTGATCCATTTAATTTACCTTATAAAAGTTTTGTGTCTTGTCTGGTAATTTTCTCGCATGTCTTAATATTTTTTGAATATCAGACTGCAAACCAACTTGGCGAATCCATGAAGGAGCATTTTGTGTATAGCTTCTCTTTTCAGTTGGTCTAACTGGGAAACTAACTGGAGAACCTTTAACTGTATCTAACGGACCCAAATTGTTAAAATTACCTAACCATGGTACAACATCAGATCCCGGTTCTAATACTGTTAGCATTAAGTTAGATTTCTTCTTTGTATCCGCCCAAGAATATATAAATCCATACCATTCGTTGTTTAATATACAAAGGGCTGCCATGTTTTCTACCTGCAAAATATGTCAATTATCTATTGATTTAAGAATATTTAAATAATTGTTAGATAAGTTCTTAGTAAGATGTTACCTTTAATGCTCCATGAAGCAACACACAAAAAGATGATATTTTTCCTTCATCTTCGTTTTCATCAGTATCTGACTCTTCTTCTAATGATATACCCTGCATACTTGAATTTTTCTCTGTTACCAAAGGCAATACTAAATGTCTAGAAATGGAACTTGGGCTACCAACATCTCCTACAGATATAAATCCACATATTTCTATAGTTTTTGATATTGCTAAACCTGAAGCTAATTCAAAATCTGTCTTCTTCGTGTAAGGCTGAAACATATATAATATACAATGTCTATATAATTGTTTAATCCAGTATATAATCTAACATATACTTTCATGTTTGTCATTACCATAGGGGGTGGTGATAATAAAATACGGGAGCCTAAATGACCACACTTTAGGTATCCTTGGAAAGAAACATAATTTGTTTCAGCTAGTTTTTGGAAGCAAGTCATGACGGAATGTTTGCTTAGCGGTGATTCAGGGACTAATACAATACTATCACCACCAGCTAGATCAGCTAAACGCTGATAGAGAGGTAAACTGATCTGCAAACTAGGGTCTGCGAACATGATACAAGTGACATATTTAAATATATGAAATGAAAAATATGAATAGAAATGATTTTTCATGTTTCAACCTACCCTGTTGCGATGCAATGCAAACTATACTTAATTTTCCTGGGTATGGAAAAGGTAGGGGAAAGGGATTTGCATCTTGCGTGACATTTAAAGAATTCAAAGAATTTAAAGAATTGCTTAAAGACATTGGTCCTACGCCAGGATTGCCATCTGTAATTAATATCACTTGGCAAGCCGTGGCATTACCCCATTCTGCCATGATTACATTATTAACTCCATGTAATGCTCCTTCGATAAATGTCTTGTCACACTCATCAATAACTCGTAACTTTCCGCGTATACCTTCATAATCGCGAGTAAAAGGGCAAATTATTTCGTACAATGACGAAAATACAACCTGAAATTTGACAAGTTTACATGTATTAACATACCTATCATACCTGACATCGTATTAGTCCGTTCTTACCACTGCCACAAATTCTAACTTTGAATTAACTTGCAAGTAATGTAACAAAGTGTTTATGCCATGCAGCGCTAACTGATGCCGCGTCAATGATTCATAATTTGGCGAATATTCATTCCCAATCATAGATCCACGTCTCCTCATTGAGAGAGAAACGTCCAACGCTATTACCGTAGGCATTTTGACACCCGAATAAAGTCAGCGTAATTAAAAGACTAAAGACTTAAATCTCATAATATATTTATTAGCCGCGTACAACTATTTCTCTGGATCTGCATAAACTTCTTTGAAGTTTGATGCAACCCACTTCTTTAAAGGGTAGTTAATGCCCTCATCTCATGTCCTCAGTCCTCAACTGTCCTCAACCACATACTGTGCCTCAAGTCAACTCCCATGGTGGAACATGGAAGGATTTAATACCAGAGAGAAGCATGAGCGCGGCCATGCCCGCGATTTAGATGCCATTTTATTTTGAAGCGCCTCTATGTCCACAAAACGCGGACATTGAACTATGCAGCCAATGTCCACGATCGTGTCGGTAATGTCCACGATTTTTGGTTCGAATCTTCCCTATATCTATGATTTTTTTGGTTCGAATCTTCCCTATCATCTCTCTCTCTCTCTCTCTCTCTCTCGACATTTGAAATATAAAAACAAATACAAAAATGTTAAGATTTCAACAGAATGCAGTGTTGATTTTTTTTATAAATATAAATTAAAAATAAAAAAAATTAATTATTGCTCTATAAATATATATCCTTTAAAGTTATTAATTATATTAATTATTAAATCTTTATTAATTCTTTAAGTATTTTAATGTTTTTGCCGAAAAATAATTAGTTTCTTTTTAAATATAAATACAGTACTTTTAAAAGATTTAATAGGTTTATTAGAATATTAGCGAGTTTTGAATAAATATGTAGATCAGTAGTATATAACTAGGTAGTTATATTTAACTTGTAGCGGAACCAGCTTATTCACCACAGTTTTGACATTTGATGATGGCCAAGCCGAAGATGAAGAAAATAGCTTGCCGCACATGGACGGTTTCCAGAGTAAACTTCCAGCAGGAATATTTTCTCACGGATTACTGCAAGTTAAGGAGGTTCACAGTCTACTTACACAGGTAGAGCAAGAGAAAGAGAATCCTAAAAAAGAAAGTGCGTAAATTATCGATCTTTTACATTTCATTTCTGTTTATTAATAAAAAATTTTGTTTTATTAATTCTGTAGTATGGGAAC